GTCAGAGACCAGCCCCGACAAACTTATTAGGGGGCTCACAAAGAGAGATGTGGAGTTGGCGGAAGAAATCACACGAAGTCGATGGTTTGTGCTGAATTCCGATTGAAGTATACTTTTTACTTAAATTTTTCAGCTCCTTATATACCGTTACAATACACTGTGATCTCATAACAATCAATTTATTTGAAGCATTACACATCCTTGATTATATCAATTTTTACTTTTTGTCTATACTATGTTGACAAAGGTATTTTTCTTAAAACAGTTTTCTTGGTCTATTTATATCTAGTTCTTTTCATCCATCTTTCTGACATCCTAAAATGTCAAGTTAACCTTAAAATATAATTCTAAATCTTAACTCCTGTTTCTACCCTCACCTATTATTTTCTGTAGATTCATTAATCACAACATGTACCTAAACATTTGCTATGGTAACTGACAACACAGTTGTTTCTCATGATTGATTAAACAAGAAAAACAAGAGCATAGAAAAGCACTTAAAGTTTTGTAGTTAAGAAGAAATGGAACAACTTCCTTATACTAACAACTTCTCTATTCAAAATATCTAGTTAATTTTCTACCTATGATCTATTACTATTCCCTCAGCCCTTAATTGCATCTTAGCTAATTTTCTAGAGGTCTTAATGTCCCTGACCAAAACTACGCAGAATGTTGAATGCAATCTTAAACTTGAACTAGCAATGCTGTAGCTGACATGTTTTCTCCTAGTGGTGAAACTTATTGTTAGTGTAAAAACACATAATTGAATGTGGTGTAATGGTGCCTAAAAACAAGTTTCAAATCTCTAATATAATTCTTAGTAAGATTCTACTGAAAAGTTATTATAAAATCAAGAAAATTAAAAATAAGCTGATTAAAACAAAGAGACAGAAACTGCAGAGCCCCCACATGAGAGTCCTCCTCGGGGCCTTGCCTTCCAAGGGGAGATTCATTGTGGCCTTTCTTAACAATGAGCCCTTCAGGCTTAGGGTCTTCCACCGCTGTGCCCTTTGGTGACATGGCTTCTGCCATAGGACCATAGGTGGAATCTTGAGTCCCATCCAGAACCTTATGAGGTGGGACATTCCCACTAGCAAGGAAGGACAAACAGACCAGCCTGGAACAGCTAGAGCGACAGAAGGTATATCTTCAAAGAAAGATCATCAGGAAAAAAACCAAAACAAAAATGTCAGCATGGTTGGCTACTATAAGAACAAGCAAGCCGTTTGCCAGAAAGACATCAAGGCTAGTAATCAATTTCCTTCAGGACAAACTCCCCTCTAAGATTGAAACTCAAAGGGAACACACAAACAGGCATGTAAGCTTGCTGGCTACCACATTGGTATACTGGTGAGTGGAAGATGGGGAAAGGCAGCAATTAAGAAATGGACTGAGTTCAACCACAGTCCATTGACTCCTGTTGACCTGGAGATGAGAGAAAGAAGAGGAAGTGCTGGTTGGTCCCAAGTGTGGTGAGACCTGGGGACACCTGAGCCCATGGACAACGACATAGCCACAGGGGGCTAGAGCTGAGAATGAATCATCCAGCTGATATGAAGTGAGGGGAGATGCACAAAAACACCCAAACTTCCAGACAGAACCCATTTGACCTAGCCTCGATGGCTTGATGTTTGGAACTCGAATAGAGGTAGATTTAAGAAAATTTTTTTTTTCATAAAGGAAACAAGGGTAAATTGCTACAATTTGATGAACCTGACCTTTTCTCAGAGAGGTAGTTACTCTAAATACCAACAGAGAGGAAAGGAGTCTTCACATCAAGTATCAATGCTATCCCCTCTGTACACAGGGTAGATAGGGACAGGCAACTTAAACATTGGCTACCTAAAATGAGGGGGCCGTAAAAGCACGAAGTGACTGGCTTACAAGATTTTAAGAGGGAGTTTAAGAGTATGGGAGGAAAGAAAGAGTCCCCACTGAATAGATTTCATCTTGTATAGATGGGTCTGGTGAAAAGAGATGGAGATAAGATTCAATAGTGAATAATTGTTATCATGACTAATTGAGACTGTCACAATTGTAAAAGTAGAAGTTTTGTAAGAAAAACACTTTACAGTGGTTAACTTACAGTCCCAAAACAGAGGACCCTAGGACTATCAATGGAGAAGCGCACAAGCAGAATGCAGGACTTCATTCAGAGAAGCAGAGACAGAGGCAGAGATGAGGTCATTGAGAAGAGGAGCGGCTGAGGACTCTAGATTTCGTGGGAAGAGAGGGACTAGGAGCTGGTGGCTAGGAGGCAGACTTTCAGAATTTGCCCTTTCGAGATGTAAATTATTATATATGCCTGAGTGTTTTTTTGTTTTTAAAAAGCTAGAGTGGATAGAGAACAATACTGTTAACTGATGGTACATGGAGGAGATTATAATCATTGTTATGAAACAAGGTGTATGATTTGTTGAATGTAAAACTCATAATCTGCCCTGTAAATTTTCACTAAATCCACAATAAAAACCTTAAAAATAAAAAAGAATTACATTTGAAAGTATCAGAATAACTTTTAGTTACAGTAAGACTATGAGACTGCTTAATTAAATAACTTACAATCTAAATTTAAAAATCTCAAAGTGCATTAGCGAAAAGAAATTATTAACATTACCTTTTTATTTGATGGGAGGAAGAAGCTTTAAAAGTCAAGTTGAAAGTGATGAATCAGGTTTATTTTGTCACATCATCGGGGTCATAAGAAGATCTACAATCTTGTTGTGAAGTGCTGTCAAGTTAGTTCAAATTCCTAGAGACCCTGTAAAGTTTCCAAGGTGTGGCTGATGGGTTTGAACTGCCGACCTTGCAGTTCTCTGTCTAAAAATGAAAAACTAAGGAAAAAGATTATTCAAGGTAAAAAAAAAATCTTTCTGAACAGTTACTATGAGCAAGGCATTGTACTTGGTACTATGAAGAAAACAGAAGTAGAGAAAGACTATCCCTCCACCCCCCAACACAGATTAAATTGTAACCCCAGAAATAAGTATCCACTTCACTGAACCATAATTCTTAGTGGTTTGGCAGTTGCATGATGTAATTGGGCAGTTGTGTAGTGATGTAAGCCTCCCCCAAAGTGTGATCAGGGGGGAAGCAGCACCTTTACTCAGGTCATAGCCCTCATTGATGCAAGGGGAGTCTCCCTGAGGTGTGACCCACATCACCTTTAGTTCACAAGATAAAAAGAGAGTGAATTGAGCAAAGTCCCTAGGGAACTACTACCACCAAGAAAGAAGAGCTAAGAGCAGAGCACATCCTTTGGACCCAGGATCCCTGCGCTGAGAACCTCCGGGACCCAGGGAAAGATCGATGCCAAAACACATGGAGATCTCTAAGGCACACTGGGCCCACCATTGTTGCAACTAGACAAGGACCTTCTCCACAGCTGACTCTCTGAATTTGAACTTCTGACTCCTGGACTATGAGAAAGTACATTTCTGTTCAGTTAACATCCTCCAATTGTGGTATTGCTGTTACAGCTAAGACACTCCCCAAAGAGCTTAGAATTTGGTTAGGTGGATGATGTAGACTCAATGGCACTTAACAACAACAGCAGCAGTATGGAAAAGAATAAAAACCACAGCACATGAGAAAATACAATAGTCTAGACCTGCAACAAACTATTTTTATGTTTAGGAGATGGACCCTAGTACTAGTGCTTTGATGACCTACTTGTAACAAATATGTCCCAATCGGTGTGTGTTGTGATCCTATCATGTAACATTAAATCTTTCAGTAAGTACAGTCCTACGGCATGTTGTATGAGAAATTTATAAGAGAGCTGAAGTGATTGTGGGCGGGGGAGGGGGGTTGTTGTTTTCATCTCCACCAGACTCATCTCATAAAGAAAACAAAATAGTTCTTGAAATCCTCTCCCAAACTGTAGACTATCAAGCAGTAACTAGCTTTATAAACTGCCCACACTAAAAATTCCCAAAATACATGCATATGCACTTAGCCTCTAGTCCTTCCTTGTTGCAATAGAATGGATACTCCTTCTCCTGGGAAAGCCAGCCCAGCCCTTCTCTCTGTCATCTGGATGCTTTCTTTCGAATTGATTTCCTCTCTGCTAGATCCTCCCCACTAGCATTTAAGCAACCCAAATCTTTCCTGTTTTAAAAGTAAAAGAAAGGGAAATTCCCTTAACCTACCTTTTTCTTCTAGTACCTCCTATCTTTCTCAATCCTTTTATAACCAGATTTCTTAAGAAAATCATTTGTACTCATTGTGTTTCCATTTCCTCACCTCCCAAGCATGTCTCAGCCACTCCAATAAAGATGCTGCTGTTAGATGCCTTCAAGTCAGCCCCCAACTCAGAGAGAGCTCATGCTCAGTGGGATGAAATCGTGACTGGTCTTGTGCCTTCCTCATGATCAGCTGCTGATCAGACCACTATGATTCATAGGGTTTTCAGTGGCTCAGTTTTTGGAAGTAGACCACCAGTCCTTTTTTCCTGGTATGGAAGTTCCTTTCAAACCTGCTCAGCTTCATAGCAGCACACAAGCCCCCACTGAAAGACAGCCAGTGGCTGCGTCTGAGGTGAAGCGAACCCAGGCCTCCAGCGTGGAGGGTGAGAACTCTGCCCCAGACATACCTGTTTCTACCACGATAAGGATACACTCCCAGAAGCCATCAGTGACTTCTGCAGAGCTAACCCCAGTAAGGCCTTTCATCTTCCTGGATCGCTCAGTTAGCAGCATTCCGACCTGCATGAAACTTTTTTCTTTTGGCTTCCATGACACTGCTTTTCCTCTTGCTTCTGGCTGTGGCTTCTAAGCTTCTTTTGACACATAGTCCTTACCCACTTGACCTTTCAATATTGGAGCCTGGTGAAGGCCTTGGATAACAGTAAAAGATGAGGCAAAAGAAGAGTCAGAATACAGTAGAAGTACTATACTTTTATGTGAAATCATACTTTTGTGTGTATAATTTCATAAGATGCTAAGTCATGGTGAAATTTTCATGTATTTATATATATACTTCTATATGTTACTATTAAGGAGCAACAAGCATTGAAAAGTATGATCTCCGTACAAATATGTGGACTCCTGTAGCAAACATGAATGGAAGGAGGCTGCAGTTTGGTGTTGCAGTGTTAGATGACAAACTGTATGTGGTTGGAGGAAGAGACGGTCTGAAGACTTTGAATACAGTAGAGTGCTACAACCCCAAAACCAAAACATGGAGCGTGATGCCTCCCATGTCCACACATAGGCATGGTCTTGGTAAGTATAACTATGCACACTTGCTCAGAATAACATATGGTAAGCTTCCATGGCATTTTTACATTCACATTCCACATAGAAGAGGACTAATGAGGCAGCTGCCAAGTCAGCAGAAATCAATCTTCAAGCATTCCTTCACAGTTCCCTGTTACCTAGAAGTGATGATGGTGGTTATGTACTATGGAATTGGTTCCAATTCATAGCAACCCTGTGTAGGGTTTCTGAAGCTGTCAATCTTATGGGAGCAGAAAGCCTCATCTTTCTATTGTGGAGCAAGTGGTAGATTCTAATACATTTGGCAGATACTAATACATTTCAAGCTATATAACAAACTTATTCCAAAATGTAATCACTTTAAACAACCATTTATTCAGCTCATGGATCTGTGGGTCAGTTGGGTGGTTCCTTTGGACAAGGCTGCCTTGGCTCATTCCTGCTGGGTTTCTCATGAAGTGGTGGTCAGCTGGCAGCTCCTAGATCTAGGACAGTCTCCCATGGTCAGCATGCCTAAATGGGCCACATGTCTAATGGTCACTCGGCCAGCTCAGGCTGCTTCCCATGGTGCCAGTGACAGGGCTTCACAACTAGCAAGAGAAGGCAAAGCTGCAGTACTCATACAGGCTTCAGGCTTCTGCTTGCATTCTGTGCACTAATGCCCTACTGGTCACAGCAAGTCACATGGCAAACCAAGATGCAAAGAGGGAAGAAAGCAAGTGACTCCTCAATGTGGGGAGGCACTACAGAGCCACATTGTAAATAGGGTGAATTCAATAGGAAGACTTTGTGGCTATATTTTCAACCTGTCACAATTTAGAAAAAAATTAAAATCATTGTAATAAAGAATCTGATAGGTATCAATAAAAGATGGATGAGTAGCCAGGGAGACATAGTTGAAATGTTACAGAGCACAGGTCAGTTATTAATACTGAGCACCAAATTTGTGGTTCCCCCAAAAAAAGCATTCGTCAGTGATGGAAATTATCTAGGGATAAAGACTGGCATGGTACAGCAAAAAGGTCAAAGACATAAAAATTTATAATGGTTTTAATTGTTGTTAGGTGCTGTCAAGTAGGTTCCAACCCTTAGTGACCCTGTATAGGGTTTCTGAGGAACAGCTGGTGAACTTGAACCTCCAGTCTTGGGGTTCAAATCAACTTTGTAGTCCAGTGCATTAACCCGCAGGGCCATACCAGGAATAGATCTCAATAAAAGGTGACCTTAGGTTCCAATTGTGGTAAGGAAGTAAATAAAGCCAGAGAGTTAGGGGTAACTCTGTGAGGTGTTTAAAATTAGCCATGTGAATTTTAATAGGAAAGTTATGAAACATTATCCTTAAGTATGTAGAGGAGTCCTAGTATGGTGCTTTAGGATACGCATTGGACTACAGGTCAGTTTGAACCCCTGGGTTGGCGATTCAAACTCAACAGCCACTCCTTGGAAATTCTATACCAGGTCGCTGTGAGTCAGAACCAACTTGATGATACTTAGCAACAAAAGTATATGTAAAATCCACCATGCATAGGCACAGAATAGAAAGTTGTTGTGCCATCGAGTCAGTTCTGACTCACAGTGACCCTGTATAGGATTTCCAGGAATGACTGGTGGGTTTGAACTGCCAACCTTGTAGCTAGCAGTCGAGTGCTTATCTAATAGAACCATACCAAGTCTCAGAATAGGAAGAATTTTCTTGAAATCAACATGAATGCTTTTAAGGTCCAGGGTTAGTAATGTTTTTCAACTTCATACTTCTCCCTCCCTCACCATTGTTGTTGTTGTTAAGTGCCATCGAGTCGGTTCCGACCCATAACGACCCTGTACAGGGTTTCTGAGTGTGTAAATCCTTACGGGAGTAGAAAGCCTCATCTTTCTCCCGCGGAGCAGCTGGTAGTTTCGAACCGCTGACCTTAAGGTTCGCAGCCCAATTCGTAACCAGTACGCATTTACTTCAGCTGTGATATTTAGAATGCGCTACTGTGCAGGAGAGAGACGAAGCTCAAAGATTTACCACCTTGGAAACCCTACACAGGGTCACTATGAGTCGGAACTGACTCAACTTGCACTTAACAACATAGAATGAAATTGCCCCTGATCCAGCTGTGTTTTCTGCAAATTACATCATACGTTAGTTGTAAAGCACCACAGGAGTGACTTTATGGAACTGTAACAAGTTCGAAGTAGACTGGTAATATAACTCAAACGGCTTTCTTTGAGATCTTAATTCAAATTGTTATGCCCTTCAAGAGGGCCTTGATCTTACTCATTTACCTTAAAATAAATAAACTTACAGAACTTATAAAATAAATAACTCTTACCTCTTCATATGTGAGAATTCTGTGAAGACTTCATTTGAAAAAGAGTTTTTGATATGTTTTCAATACATATCTTCTTTTTTTTAAGTTTTATAAATAATTTTAAAGGGTTGGATTTGATGGACCCTTTTACTTTTTCTTTAGTCTGATTGAAAAAAAAAATTACATGTGTGTGTGTTGTACATTATATTAAGACAAAAAATATCTAATGTACATTGGTTTGGGTCATGCATGATTGAAGATTTATATCTTGTTTGATCATGATTCCACAAATGAAAATATGTTTGTTTCACACATTTTTCTTTTGGCCTCTTAAGTGCTACACAATAGCATAACTGCCATGTGTGGTCTGACTCTCATATCACCTGCTCTCCTCCCCCCATTCCTCACCCTGCTTAACTAGCTAGCTGCTTACTGGACCACAGGCACACTCAGCAGGCCTCAGCCATGCGCTCTCCCCTCTGTGTCACCCTCTCTTTTCTGGATATCTGCATCTTGGGTTTCATACCTTCATCTAGACTTCTGTTCAAGTCTCACATTAAAGGGCTCCCCTGACCTCGCTACCCACTTATTCTCCATTTTCACATTAGAACTCATCAGTACCAAAAGTGCTTTTTGTGATTATTTTATTCACTAAAATAAAGGTCCATGAAAGCAGAACTCTTAGTGGGTTTTTTATTGTTGTTCTGTTAAGTGCTTGACATTTAGTAGAAACACAATAGATATATTTGATGAATAAATGAATTTGTTCAGTTCCTTGATGATGAATCACACTAATAGAGTGTGGTATCAAATCTAAGTACAGTAAAAGCTCATTCATTTGAATTTGAATTAAAAGGAAGAGAGGAAGAAAAATGCCTTTTCAAATATATCTTAAATCTAAATTATTGAAAAACATAGTAAGTAATGGTAATTTGTACAACTGATATAATTTTCAAAAGCTTTCCATGGCTTCTTTTCTACCCTCCTAGTTCATTGTGTAATGCCTGGGTCTTAAAAGCTTGCAAGTGACCAAGCAAAGCACAATAATTGGTCTATTTTCCTGGAGTCCTAGTTTGGCACTGTAGGATAAGCATTCGACCTCAAGGTCCATTTGAACCGCAATGTCGATGGTTCAAATGCACCAGCCGTTCTTTAGAAACCCTACACAAGGTCAATATGAGTTGGAACCAACTTGACAGCACTTAACAACAACATTCACCTGGAGCAACAAGGAAAGGAGAGTCAGGAATCGGAGCAAGATATGGACTATGTGGCTGATTGCCATGACACCTAAAGAA